CTCCTCGCAGGACAAGCTGCTGGACAGCCTGAACCACAAGGTGCTGGATGTGTACCGGCACTGTGTGGGTGCCCAGCAGGACGCCAACCTGGGCACTGTGCAGATGCTCACCATCATTGAACACCAGCTGGACGAGCTGATCGAGAACCTGGAACATGTGCCCCAGGCCAAGGTCGACCAGGCCAGGGCAGCCAAGGAGAAGGAGAGGCGGATGAGGTGAACACCAGGCCCACCCCACTCTCCTCACCCAGCTTCAGCTCTGGTCTGACACAGCCCCCCTCCCGAACCTTCAAAGAGCTCCTGAAGCAGGGCAGACAGGCCCCCAGCACTCCATGCTGAGATGTGGAAGCCAGGGTCTTGGGGGTGAGGCCAGCACACTCAGTTGCGGGGTGGGTAGAGAAGGCTCCCTGGAGGTGATGGTGATTGGTGATATGGAGTCTGGAGGCTCATGAGGGAGGCACACGGTCTAGAAGAGCTGGAGCTAAGCGAGGCCTGGATCCTGCGGACAAGGGTAATCGATGAAAGACTTTGAGCAAGAGGACAAACATAGGATTTGGTTAGATCTCCCCTCTCCAGCTGCACAGGTGGGGCAGAGGCTGAGTTCCAGGGCAGCTGCCAGAGCTGGGCACAGCTGAGCAGTGTTTGCAGGGGAGTGGTGGTTGGGGTGCTGAGGCTCAGGGAGCCTCTGGGGACTCCAGCTCAGAGTTGAGGAGTGGGGCAGGCAGGCACCAGCTCAGTCACACCCCCAGATGGAAGCTGGCATGGGGAGGTCCAGGGAGCTCCCCATAGGCCCAATGGGACCCAGGTGAGATGAGGACCATGGCTCTCCAGCCTCTGGGCCAGCTGGTTCATTCACTTATCTGTACAGGGCCCTAAGATATGGCCACCTGCAGCTGTCCATCTGTCTCTCCCACAAGCAGAGGGGTCTCTCCTTTAGGCCCCAACACCCTAGTTGGAGCAGGCACTGGGCAAAGGTTTGATGACAGGAGGTACAAATAGGAAGGACACAGGACTACTATCCCAGCTGGGTGCTGGGCTCTCACAGGGAATGATGACAGACACAGAGGTCAGGGACATGGACCAAGGTCATGAGCCTCTTACGGGTGTGCTATGATGAACCCTAGATCACCACCCACAGGAAGCCAGGGCCAAGGCTCCATCTGTCATTCTCTGGGCCCAAACCACCTGGCCAGAAGCAATGGTGCTCTGGCTGTGGAGAGGTGGGAGGGTCCCAACCTGGAGAGGAGTTGGGACTTTTCTCAAGAAGGAGGCCCTGGCCTGACTTGGAAGACTGAGTGGGAAGAAGCTAGAAACAGAATATGGCAGCCTGGCCTCCCAGGCTCTTCCAGACATAATGCCATCTCTTGCCACCCAGACTTCGGGAAGAGAAGGTCATGATGCAAAAGCTAGTGCAGGAAGAGCGTCTGCAGCGGGCCCGGGCCCGTGCCCAGGCCCAGGTCAAGAAGAAGGTAAGCAGGGTCGCCCTGGAGATCACTGCTAGGAAGGGGTCTCAATACAGCACAGCTGAGGAGCTGAGGTCCTGCAGCCTGAACTTCTGATACCTCCTTTGCAGGCAGTATCACCGAGGCTCTGCAGAGAGACAGGCTGCCTGTAGAGCAAGGCCAGGGTAGAACAGGGTCTCCTGCTGCCCCCACCTCCCCCCAGGGCTGCCCTCCACTCCCAAGATGCCTTCCCCTGGCTGCCAGCCCGAGGCCCATGTCGGATTCTCTCTCCTGCACACACACTCCTCGCCAGACTGACCCAGCTTCCTACCCTCCCCTACCAGGTACAGGCAGTCAGCTCAGAGAGCTAGCCCAAACGCTCAGTCCCTCAAGTTCCCCCACCCCACCTACACTCCAACCATACCCAAACTAAACTCATATGTCACTGGGGCCCCCTTCCTCCTATCCCAAGGCCTCTACACCCCATGGCAAATGGGCTGGACTGGGTACTTGCCTTCTGGCCCTGGCAACAGGAAGCATAGTCCCTCAAGCAGGCCCGGAGCTGAGCCCGGCCCCACAACAGATGAGGTGGTGGGCTTTCTGCTGAACATTCCAGGACTCCCACTTGGGGAAGGGCAAATACTGCAGGGTCTCCTCCATAACCCCACAGCAGAGGAAATGAGTTCCCTCTGTTTAGGCCAGCATTTCCCAGTTCATGTTTCCAGGTCCTCCTCCATTCCCATAGACCAGGCATGATAAATGCGGGGCAGGGTCACACTCCAGAGTAACTCCAGGCTCAGCCTACCAGGCTGCCCACAGTGACCAGGCGCTGACTGGAGCATGCTGGGCCTCCCCCAGGCTCAGGGGCAGGGGGTGCAGCATCGCCCCCTCTGCCCGCACCGCTGGTGCCATGAGGACGAAAAGCATAGGCTCACCGAGTCACTTCCTCTGCAGAGAGGCAGGAAACTGGTGTGCCGCTCCCGACCCCCGGCTCTCAAACCGAGGGAGGAGTCTGAGCACACGCTGATGGACAAGGACAAGGAAGAGGCGCTGTTTTTCTTCATTTAACCCTCACAGAGCCGCAGCTGGGCTGGCTCAGGGCTTAGAAGAGACATCAGCAGTGGAGGCGGAGACGGGCTGGATCTTGAGTGGACCCTCAGTCCTCAAGGTCTCCTCTGTGTGTTCCCTTACTCCCTCAAAATAAACTCATGTCTCTCTGGTGTCCTGAAGGCCTCTTTAAGGAAACAGCCACTGTTAGCACATGTAAGCATCCCTCTCTCTAATCATGCAACTTTGACCTGATGCAGGTGGCAAGGCGCGCCATCCAAAACATCT